TCCTTGGAGTCTAGGATTTTGGAGCTCTGTCTCACTTACTTTGGGCATGTGACCCAGAGAGGGCAGACCTTGGAGAAGGACATCATGCTCGGAAGGGTGGACAGACAGTGCAGGAGAGGGAGACCCTGGATGAGATGGATTGATATAGTAACTGAGGCAATGGGGGTTGGTGTGTCAGAATTAATGAGACTGGCTCAAAGGGTTCAGAGCTCTGTACATAGGGTCACTATACATTGCCAGTGACTAAATGGCACATAACAATAATAACATACATGACAGCTTTGGAAGCAGGAGCGGCATCCACTTCCTAAAAAACATGCCTCTGGAAAATCTGTGAACTTTGATAAATGTCAATAGTTGTAGAGGGGCTTCAGGCCTTTTGTTCATAGGGTTGCTATGAGTTGAGCTCGATTCGAAGGCAATCAACAACAACAGCAACCCACGACTTAGAAAGGATACAGATCTTTTTCATTGTATTTAAGGGCATGTTTAGAATTTAATTGGTGCAGTAATTTTGAGCATCTAATAGAGGAGCCTGGTGGCACAGTGTGTTATGTGCTAGGTTGCTAACTGAAAGATTAGAAGTTAGATTTCCTAGCTTTGGATTTGAAGGAGGCTCTCGAATAAGGAATGTCATCACTGATGTCAGATGGACCCTGGCTGAAAGTAGAGTGTGATGCACTGGGTTTATTGTTCAAAATGTCTTTCATAGGCCATGATTTTTGACCTGAAAACAAAGTCTGTAAGCTACTCATGATGAGATTGGACAGTTGTGCCATCCCACCAGGCTTAAGATGAGCAGGTTTAGCAGCAGATAAAGGGAATCTCATGATGACTAGCATTAAACGAATGGAGAATGCAGCCTGTGACCTTCAGGGCCAGTGATCCTTGTACTAAATGGAGATATACCAAGAACAAGTCACTTCAGAAACAGCTGCAACCCTGAGAGGCTCACCAGTCTATGCCAGGAAACTTGGAGGAAAGCCTCCTGGTTGACTGGAAGATATCCGTATTTGTACCCATTCCCAAGAGAGGTGGTCCAACAGAATGTGAAAATTACTGAATAATAGCACGTGCAAGCAAAATGTTGCTGAAGATCATGCAAAAACAATTAGAGCACTGCATTGACAGGGAAATGTCAATTAAATCAAGCAGGATTTAAAAGGGTCATGACACCAGGGATATCATTGCTGGTGAAAGTAGAGAATGCCAGAAGAATGTCTATCTGTGTTTTATTAACTGCATGGATCATAACAAACTATGGCTAATACTGAGGAGAATGGGAGTCTCACAACACTTAATTATGCTCACAGAAAATCTATATCTAGACTAAGAAGCTGCTGTCTGAATGGAGCCAGGGAATACTCTCTATGGTTTAAAATCAGGGAGGGTGTGTGTCAGGGTTGCATTGTTTCCCCATACCTATTCAGTTTGTATGCTGAGCAAATGATTTGTGAAATTGAACTCTATGAAGAGGAATATGGCATCAGGAGGAAAACTCATCTACAACCTGTGTAATACAGATGACACAACCTTGCTTGCTGAAAGTGAGGAGGATTTGGAATGCTTGTTGCAGAAGATAAGGACTGCAGCCTTCAAAATAGATTACCTGTCAACATCCAGAAAACAAAGGTCATCACCACTGGGCCAATAGGCAGCATCATTGTAGATGGAGAAAAGATTGAAATTTTAAATGATTTCATCTTACTTGGATCAACAGCCAACACCGTTAATAGCAGCAGTTGTGAGATCAGGAAACATTGCATTGGGTAACTACTGTCAGGGACCTCAATGAAATACTGATCAGCAGTCATGTCAGTTTGAAGACCCAAGCGTGTTTGGTTCAGACCATGGTCTTTTTGGTCACTTCCTACACTGGACAATGAAAGGATGACAGAGGAATTGACTCTTTGAGTTGTGGTGTTGGAGAAATGTGCTAAATATCCCATGTACTGTAAAAAAAAGTAGATTGACACAGTGACTGTAGCAATGACCTCAGGTATGTCAGAGATAGTGATGATGGCACAGGATAGGCCAGGGTTCAGCTCTGCTGTTTGTAGGGTCACTATGAGTTGTACTTGACTTGTATGTAGCAGCAGCAGCAGCAGCAGCGGAGAAATGGAATACTGTGAGACAAAACAGATCTAGACTCTTCCCTATGGAGCCAGAGTCAGAAGGTTTTACCCAAGCTCACTGGAGTACTAGGGTCCAGGACTAAGGAAGCAGGAGTGGCATCCACTTCCTAAACAACATTCTTCTGGAAACTCTATGAACTTTGATAAATGGCGATAGTTATAGAAAGGCTTCAGGCCTTTTGTTCTTAGGGTCGCTTTGAGTTGTGCTCTACTGGACAGCAATCAACAACAACAAGAAAGCTTTGTAACATTTAATATCTCAAGGGCTTTAAGATGGTTCAGAGGGTCTTGAGCATGCTTGAGAAGCTGTCCTGACTAAAGAATTGCATCCTATTTCCAATCTGAATCATAGCCTGTTAACTTTCCTAATAAACCCTGCAAGCCTAAGTCTGAGTCTGTGAATTTTGTGTGACCGTTGCAGTGGATTAGCAGAGCAGCACGAGCTCTGGGAGGTTAGGTTGATGCTCAAGTTGGTGGAGATAGGTTCAGAAAACAGCAAGGCCATGTCTGGCCTCATGGGAATCAGTTTATTTTGGGGATGGGGACTGTTACCACCTGAGGAGTTACTGGAGGCTTACCTTGACTGTCTCCATGTCAGTCGCTTTCTGGTCATACCAGAAATATGTTTTAATTGTGTTTTTTTGACTCTAAGAATGCATTTGGCTACGCTTAAAATAATAAGTTATGGATAATACTGAAACAAATGTGAATTCCACAATACTCATTTATGCTCATGGGAAACATGTACAGAGATGAAAAATTAGTCCTCCACCAGAACAAGGGGACATTGTATGGTGTAAAATCAGGAAAGGTATGGATCCTTTCTCCATACCATTCAATCTGGATACTGAGGGAATAATTCAAGAAACTGAACTATATGAAAAAGAATGTAGCATTAGAATTGGAGGAAGACTCATCAACAGTGTTTACTATGCAGAAGACACAGTCTTCCTGGAGAAAGTAAAGAAGACTTGAAGTACTTGAAGAAAATCAAAGACTACACCCTTCAATATGGATTTCTGACATTTAAGCATTATGAAAATCAAAATGATCACCACTGGCCCAACGGACAACATGCTAGATGGAGAAGAGATTGAAGTTATCAACAATTTAATTTTACTTGCATCCACAACCAATACCCATGATAACAGTAGTCAAAAAATCGAAAGATATGTTTAACTGGGCAAATCTGCTGTCAAGGATCTCTATAAAGTGCTAAAGAGCAAAGGCATCAGTTTAAAGACTAAGATAAATCTGACTGAAGCTCTGGCGTTTGCAGTTGCCTAACTCTGGTGGCCTAGTGATAAAATGCTGCACTGCAGGCATTAAGGCTCACACGGGAGTATGGGCAAGCTCCTTCCATGCGATTACTGCCTATGAAAACCTCTCAGAGGGTCAGCTATTAGTTGTTTGCGACTTGATGGTACACAACAATAACGTTATGCATTTAAAATTGAGAAACGAATAAGGAAGACCAAAAAAAGAAGTGATGCCTTTGAATCATGGTATTGGTCAAAAGTATTGAATATCCTAAATCAGTTTGAGGACTAAGGTGTGCCTGATTCAGGTCATGACCTTTTAAGTCACTTGCTGTGCATCTGAGAACTGGACAATGAGTAAAGATGACAGAAGAATTGATGCCTTTGACCTGTGGTGTTGGAGAAGAGAACTGAAGCTCTCGTAGACTACCAAAAGAACAAACAGATATGTCTTAGAGAAGGTGCAGCCACAGTGCTCTTTAGAGGTGACATTGATAAAGCTTCGTCTCATACATTTGCTAGGAGGGGAAAAAGAATATCGCGCTTGAAGAGGTGGAGGGACAGTGAAAGAGAATACCCTCAACCAGGTGGATTGATACAGTGACTACTGCAGTGGGCTCTCGAGTATGTTGGAGAATCATATCGATGGCACCTAACAAGCACCACATAGACTATCAAAGGAACAAAGCAGTCTGTCTTCGAGGTAGTGTAATCAGGTCGCTCCTTGGAGGCAAGGATGGTGAAACTTCATCTCACATATTTTGGTCATGATTTCAGGTGGACAGGTCGTTGGAGAAAAAAAAAAAAGGAAATGCTGGGAAAAGTAGGCTGTCATTGAAAAAGTAAGAGACCCCCTCTCAGTCACATGGATTGACACAGTGCACCTGAGCCTGGGCGAGGTTGTGAGGATTGAGCAGGATCGGTGGCTAGGTCAAGGTTTCGATCTATTGTGTATAAGGTTGCTATAAGTTGTAGTTGACTAGACAGCACTTAACAATAGCTGAGGTGGGCTGCTTCCATTATGATGTATAGCCTTGGAAGTTGGATGTAGGATCCCCATGAGTTAGAATCAAATTGGATATCATTGCTTTGGTTAATAAAGTTGTTAAGATCTGTTGTTTTCATCTGGCTGTTTTCAGCCATGCTTGATGTATATTGTAACTGGTTAAAAAGGAATAATATTTTTTGACAATTTTTTATTTGTTTAAGGTAGAAAGAACTCCTCAGGTTAGGAGGGAGCTCTTGTGGCATGGCATAGTCCCTAAGGAGTTGTGTTATGAACCCAAAAGCCACCTCTCTAGCACTTAGAATTTACTAGAGACTCCCTTGTGGGAAGAGGAGCATTAGCCTCCTGTGCTTATTACAGGCTCAGAAGGTCAGTGGAGGGGCAGCTTTGAGTTGGTTCCAATTAGATAGCAATGAGTTTGAGTTTTGTTTTGACTCAAGTAGGATAGGGTATAAAGCAATGCTATTGACATATTCTTGGCATTGAATAGCATTTCAAAAGTGAGGTTGTGAGGAGGTTGAGAAACACCTCTCTTGGGCGGGGAGGAATTCAGACAGTGTGTTGATGCTCATTGGTGTCTCTTTTCTCTTTTAGGACCAGCAGAGAGAAGAGATTCCATCTTCCAGAGGTTGCCACTGTCTGGCTCCCCACTTTGCCCATCCTCAATCGTCTTGTTCTTTTTTTAAATATAACTTAGTGACAAGTCATCTAGTAGTTTAAATTTGGCATCGTGTCTTAATTGACTTAGAATTTGAAACTGGTATTTTCTTAGATATTACTTTTGAGTTTAACAAACTCTTCCCCCAGTTATATTGTCTTTTAAATGAATATATTTATTACCATTTTATGAAGTACATAGAACCTTAACCCACCCGAAACCACAGTTACTGAGCCAAGTGTGACTCTCAGTGACCTTCCACTGGTTTTCAGAACTTATAAATCTTCAGGGAGGGTGATGGCCCGTCTTTCTCCTGTGGAAAGTCTGGTGGGTTTGAACCACTTTGGTTGACAGCCCGACGCTTTTCCACTGGGCCACTGGTGCTCCTTTTAGAGTCTTAAAGGACAAATAAAAGAATATTGCTCATTATTTTCCTTTGCTTATTTGTTATTTGTTGTTTTTGTTTTGGACTAACTCGAGTCCTGTAATAATGAAATACACAGCTTTTGCTTAGAGGTTGAATTGTGGCCTTTTTTTTTTTGGTGTTGTTTCCCTCCCTCTTCCCCCCTACCCCGAAGTTACTAAAAAATGTAGGATGAAATTTTTAAGTTGCAGATAATCTTGAAACTCTTTATTCAGTGACACATTTTTAGTGGAGATAAATAGGAAATTATATGTTTGTGAAAAATTAGATCTTATTAATTGTTGTTTTGTTAGCAGTCATCAAATCTTCTATGACTTCTGACATCTCTATGAGCAGCAGATCTGAACCTTGATGTATCCTGCACTGTTCTCATGATCGCTGTCATGCTCAAGCCCATTGTGGTTCCTTTGTTAGCTGAGGGAAGTGCAATTAATGTTACACAAGTAAGCTCCATGTGTATTACAGTTTATTATTATTATTTGTTCATTACAATACCTAAACAACCAAAAAGTAAAAATGCAAAACAATACGTAATGCTTGTGTATTTCCTATTATGCACTGCTGTATGAAGAGTTTATACATCAAAATACTCTTGGTTTATGAATATTTCAAAGTCTTTGGCTCAATAATTTGCAGGTTGTGCAACCTGCCAGTAGCCTGTCCTACCCTGGGACAGAGTTTATTACACCCTGTACCTTAATGCCATGCCCCATGCAGGTTTGCAGATATACTCCAATACTGAGACTTCCCAAATTCTGCCTGTGATTAGCCTTCCTGAACTAATAACTTTCAGTAAATAAGTTAATATCACAAATGTTTGTGCTGTTTTTATCCTGTAGCTCAGTGATCCCAAAATTTATTAATTTGGCAGATTGTCTTTTGCTCCTTTTGCTGTGATTATGTTTAGTCTTTGAAAAATCTTTATGCTAGCCTACTGCTCTTTCTTTATGTCACTTTTACCTTTCATCTTACAGGTAGATCAGTAAAGAATACTTTTCATTTTTTCTTTTTGAAAGATTAAAGCTGTTTAGTGGTTAGCAGGGGTGAGATGACGAGTTATTATGTAGGAAGCATTAATGGGCAGAAGATACTGATGAAGGTTGGGCAACAATGGTTACTATAATTGATGTTGCTAAATTGTACATGTGTAAACATTTAATTTTTAATGATTGTATGTGTATGTATATATATAATTATATGAGCAATTAAAAAATATGCATTTTGGAGATATTAATGGAAATGACTTATTCATTTAAATGTTTAAGCATCTATATTTGTTGGAGTGAGTGGTTGAGCTTAATTTTCCATAAAAGGACAAATTTTATTAGCAAGATTGTTTATTTTATTTCAAACTCTTCCCTCTAGTATGTAGCTAATATCTATTTTGATCATAGAATTATTTTACTTAAAAACTTTTTAAAAATTGTATTAGTAGCTATTGGGTTGCTCTGACCCATGACAATTTCATATTTACAAGATAGAATTGCTCCGTGGAGATTTCAAGTCAGTGGCCTTTTAGGAGCAGATTGCCTCACCTGTTTCCTGAGGCATCTCTGTGTAGCTGTGAAACTTGAAACCTTTGACTAGTCAAATATAACCTTTTGTCCCACCCATCAAATAAATTCTACCTGTGGTAGGCTTGACTTTAACCAAGGTAAAGTTACTCCTAAAGAAGGGCAAAGACAGTTTCTCAAAATTATATTCTGTTTTCTTGACAAATTTAATAATGTGGTTTGTCTTTCTTTCTGCCTTAGTCTTTTTTGATAAAAATAAAATGTGACAATTCTTTGGCAACAAAATTGATTTCTGTGCAATTCTTATTATATCAGCTTACGTTTACATTTGAAACCAAAATGATTCACCATTTAATGTCATGTCTTAGTTTTATGATTTTGACCCAGCTATTCAAAGACTGCCTGCCAAAAGAACAAACAATGTATCCTGGAAAGGGCTTATCCAGAGTACTCCTTGGAGGTAAGGTTGAGGAAGGTTTGAAGCTTGTCTTTCCTATTTTGGACATGTAGCTAGGTGAGACTATTCCTTGGAAAGGGACATCATGAGTGGAAAAATGGAAGGTCAGCGAAGGAGAGGAAGACCCCCAAGGAGATGGATTGACACTGTGACTTCAGCAGTGGGCTCTAGGGTCTCAGAGATGATGAGGACGGCACAGGAGAGGGCAAGCTTTAGACTGGCTGTTCATAAACTTGTTAGGAGTTGTACTCAACAGCACCTAACAATAACATTACTTAAGCTCCTTGGCCAAGGCATACCTAATTCTCTTGCTGTTGTTCAGTGTGGAGTTCTTGTATAATAAGAAATGGAGTACTCTTAGATTCAAGCCATGTGCTTGTTAACATCATAAGAACTGTCACTATTCATGTTATGATTTGAACTGTACATACATTCTTGTAACTGGACGTATTAAAGAGTATACCAAAAGACTAAGCTAAGTCATAATGCTAAAGCAAGGACATGTACAGTTAAAATACATATATCCCACACCTCCCTTTAAACAGAGCCCTGATGGTGCAGTGGTTAAGACTTGGCTTCTTATCAGCTGCACCAAGGAAAAAAAGAGCTGACAATCGGCTCCTATCTTGACCCTAGAAATTCCTGCAGGACAGTTGTGCTCTGTCCTGCAGGGTCACTATGGATTGGAATTGTGTCAGTAATGCTCAACAGTACCATCTTCCCATTTTACTGTTTGTTATTAACTGTAATGAATGTCAACTTGCCTTTAAGTAATTGAATTGTGGTGTTGCTGTTGTTGTGTACCATCTGTTTGGAACTGACTCACAGCTGACCCTCCATGGGTTATCGGAGCAGTTAATCGCACAGGAAAAGATTGCCCATCTTTCACCCGTGGAGCTGATGGTGGGCTGGAACTGGGTACCTTCAAGATGACAGTGCAGCTTCTTGCCTTTAGGCCACCAGAGCTATCTATTACATTGTACTGTTGTAAAGAAATTGCTAATATTTAGTGAGCCTTTAATCTGTTAGCATTTACTGGCATTTTTCATATACACAAGGAAACACTGTATGGTTCAAAATTGAGAAGGGTGTATGCCAGGGATGTGTCCTATCACCATACCTTTTTAATCTATATGAGAAACAGATTATCTGGGAGGCTGGGCTCTATGAGGAGAAACGTGGCATCAGGATTGGAAGTAGATTTAGCCATAATCTGTGTTATGCAGATGACACAAGCCTGCTTGCTGAAACGGAGGAGGACCTGATGCGCTTGTTGCAGAAGGTCAAAGACTGCAGCCTTCAATATGGATTGAAGCTCAACATCAAGAAAACAAAGATTCTCACCACTAGGTCGATTGACAGCATTATGATAGATGGTGAAGAGAACGAGATTGTTGACAGCTTCCGTTTGCTTGGTTCTATAGTCAACACTCTGGTATCAGCAGCCAAGAAATAAAAAGATGAATTGCATTGGGAAAGTCTGTTGTCAGAGACCTCTCCAAAGTACTGAAAAGCAACGATGTCAGTCTGGAGACTGGGGTGCTCTTGATCCAGGCCATGATCTTTGCAATCACTTGCTGTGCATCAGAAAGCTGGGCAGTGACTAGAGATGATAGAAGGAGAATTGATGCCTTTGAGCTGTGGTGCTGGAGAAGAATATTGAAAAATCATGAACTGCAAGGAGAACAAACAAGTTTGTCCTAGAGAGGGTGAGATCAGGCTGTTCCTTGGAGGCAAGGATTCTAAAGCTTTGTCTGACATACTTTAGACATGTTGTAAGGAGGGACCAGTCCTTGGAGAAGGACATCATGCTTGGGTGGATGGAGGGACTGTGTAAGAGAGGAAGATGCTTGAAGAGATGGATTGATTTAGTGACTGGGGTAATGGAGCTAGGTGTGTTGGACTCAGATTGGCAAAGAATAGAACAGGCTTTAGGGCTGTTGTGCAAAGGGTGGCTATGAGTTGCAGGTGACTCAACAGTATATAACAACAACAATGTTAATCCTACCAACTGAAGGCAGTAGATGGGAGTACTATTCCCAGTGGTTTCAAACACAAACTCATTGCTGTCGACTGAAAACCACTTTAAAGCTGAGCCTCCACTGGTTTTTTGGAGGCCATAAATAGCATGAGAGGAGATGATTGTCTTTCTCCTGAGGAGCTGACAGGATTAAAACTGCCAGAGAGCGATGAATCCTTTGGATTAACAGCACAACTCCAGGTAGGTTACACCACCAGAGCTCCCTAAATTAGATCAGTAACCTCTTCAGGATATCATGGTAAATAAATAGTAAAGACAGTTTGAATACACGCAGTATCTCCAGTTCTTTCTTCTATAAGCTCACAATTCTGACATTTTATTATTGCTTCTTCCTTTTTATTACAATATTAACTCTTATAGAACAATTTTAATCTAGAAAGGTGATTTTTCGTGTAAATATTAAAATTATTTTCTAATATAGACACTTAGGAAACAGGTTCATCCTGTCTCACAGGGTGAGACCAGGTTGCTCCTTGGAAGCAAGGATTCTGAAGCTTCATCTGACATACTTTGGGCTTGTTGCAAGGAGGGACC